CTCTTTTCAACATCCTTTTGCTTTTTACATAAATGGAAGCATACGTACACTGCTTTGCACTCACTTTTTGTACTTAACACATTTTGGAGAACATCTTTATACGGAGAGCTTTGTAATTATTTCTTTTATATCTACAGAGAATTTCACTTTAAGGATATACCACAATCTAACCACACCCATCTCTTACTACTATAAATAATACTGTAATTAACGACAAACAATATTTGTTTATTAAAAAAGAAAAAACTTGTCCAAAATATAAATTGTCATAACAATACTGTTTTCTTTTTAATGTTTATTTAATTTTTGAGGGACAGCACAAGTGGGAGAGGGGAAGAGAGAGAGGTAGAGAGAGTCCCAAGCAGGCTCGCACTGTCAGCGCAGAGCCTAATGCTGTGCTTGAACTCACTAACCCCAAGGTCATGACTTGAGCCAAAATCAAGAGTCAGACACTTAACTAAGTCACCAAGGCACCCCTATTTTTTGTAAATATTTATTTATTTTGAGAGAGAGCACAAGTGGGAGAAGGGCAGGGAGAGAGAAGAGAATCCCAAGCAAGCTCCACACTGCCAGCACACAGCCCCATGTGGGGCTCGATCCCAGGAACTGAGGTAAAATCAAGAGTCAGTCACCTGACTGACTGAGCCACCCAGGTACCCTGAGAGGAATATTTAAAGACCCCTGCAATATAAAGCAATTCAAAAATTGATGTAAGAGGGGCACCTGGGAGGCTCAGTCGGTTAAGCATTCGACTACAGCTCAGGTCATGATCTCGTGGTTCGTGAGTTCAAGCCCCATGTTGGGCTCTGTGCTGAAAGCTTGGAGCCTGGAGCCTGCTTCGGATTCTGTGTCTCCCTTTCTCTCTGCCCCTCTCCCACTTGCACTCTGTCTCTCTCTCTCAAAAATAAACAAACATTAAAAAAAAATTTTTTTTAAAGAATTGATGTAAGGAAAAAACAACTCCTCCCTTACAAAATATTCTAACTCCCTTAGAAATACTCTCAAGACTACAGCTGCACAATCTGGAACTAAGCATCACTTAGCAGTAATTATAAGGTGCTGATTCTAAAAGCCATGGTGGCCCTTTACGAGAGATCAGCTTATCACTGAAAATATCCATGCAAAGCAGCACACATGCTCCTTGCTTATAAGAACAAAATTTGAAATTATATTCGTGTATTTGTTCCAAGACTTATTCACATTTCAGATGTAGCATTAGAAGGAAACAGGAGTATGTCTGTAGGTAAGAGAAGAAAAGAAACCTGGTTTAAAGCATGTGAAAAGTAAATAAAAACCGAAGATAAGAAATTCTGTGAAAAAATGAGAACACTTAAAATGTTTCCCAAACCTATTGTTCCATCTTCTAAAAATAGTCTGAACCAATTTATACTAGTCAAAAAAAGAACTCTGATAAAACAGAGGAAGAACTGGATAAAATGTTGCCTAAAAAAACCTAAACCTTAATTCAGAACAGAGGCATCCTGAGGCAGCTTTCTTATTACTTATCTATTGCTAAATAGTAATCATTCTAGGGCCTTTGTCAACTGCTTGATATGCATTATTTAATTTTCCCAGGTAAAGAAAGAGAAGTGTAATGAGTAATATCCCCATATTTGGCTTAGAAAAATAATACAAAATAGTTGCAATTTTTCAACTATTTGGTGAAGTGGTTCTCAAATGAAAAATAGTAGATATTTTCCAAACCTCTGGAGCAGGTGTGCTAAACTGCTGCGTGCAGGACAATTATCTGGGGTCTTTAAAAAGCCTCTTAAATGCTTGGCACCCATCCAGGTGGTTTTGAAGTTACCAGTTTAAAAGTTTATTACAGTAGTAGTACACGGTGGTGATGAAGCACAACTCCAGCAGCACCACAGGAAGATACAAAATCAAAAATACAAGTCCTGCTGACTCAACTCCCCACAGATAATCACTATCAATTTCTTCTGCTCTCTCTCTCTCTATATATATTCCTCGTGTGTGTGTGTGTGTGTATGCCCCTACACATTATGTATTTTTAATTTACAAAGGAGCACATCTAGGCCCACGGTGATCTTTCAATAGCTGCCTAGTATTCCATTTTTTAAAACATATTATCACTTATTTAAGCAGTCCCTTATTGATATTCAAATTCTCTCTCTCTCTCTCTCAAGGGCGCCTGGGTGGCTCAGGTGGCTAAGCATCCAACTCTTGGTTTCCGCTCAGGTCATGATCTCACAGTCAGTGAGATCAAGCCCACATCTGGCTCTGTGCTGACAGTACCAAGCCTGCTTGGGATTCTCTCTCTCCCTCTCTCTCTGTCCCTCCCCCACTCACATGCATATGTGTGTATGCACGTGCTCTCTCTCTCTCTCTCTCAAAATAAATATTTAAAAATAAATAAGCCTGGGGCGCCTGGGTGGCTCAGTCGGTTAAGCATCTGACTCTTGGCTGTGGCTCAGGTCATGATCTCACAGTTTAAGGTTCAAGCCCCACATCAGGCCCTGAACTGACAGTGTGGAGCTTG